CACACTAGAGAGCGCAGAAATGGCGAAAAAAGGCTCTAACAAAGGAGGAAAATCAGCAGGGGACGGGGTCCTCCGCAGGGTGGATTCACGGTTCTAGCTTCCGCAGCGTTCTTCTTCCGTAATAATACCCAAAAATACAATGCAGTTTTGAACTGGAGCTAGTTCAAAGTATGAAGAATCACCATCTTTATCAGATGCTGAGGAAAGAATAACGCTTACCTTTGCTCTTTTGAGTGTCGAGAGAAAGTTGGCTACCACTCCTCCACCCAGTCCAAGCAATAGCACTTCTTGTTTTCTGGCAGAGTCGAATTTTAGCCCCTAAATTTTGAAGAAAATTTCGGCGGTAAGTATTCCCTTTACTCACTTCCATAGCGAATGCGAAGCTAACCATCACTTTTCCATACGCACTAGGCAGCTTCTGCTTATCTACCTTCCATTCACTGGTGTTTTTATTATTCTCAGTGAGTACTGAAAAACCCGTTAAAATGTATGAAATAATAGCGCTGATTATTGCTACCCAGTGGCTGTATCAAAGCAGCCGATGAGAACGTGTAAAGTGTGTCTGCTATCAGCATGTCTCTAATAACTGCGAGCCTGCAATCAACCTAAAATACCTTACTGCATCGCGATAAAGAGATCTTGAATGTTCGTGGCTCGACGCAGACAATGCATAAACCACGTTCGCTGCTGCGGTGCGGTTGGCGTGCCTATCACACAGAGAGAGTGCGCGCGCGAGGATACGCCGACAGCCGGAACTGCGTTCGTGCATTATCTGCGTCGTTGACTCGACTGTATGAGCACGCACTCGCCAAGCCTGCTGTATGCCGTATCTTGTATGTGGAAGCAATTACTCGTCGTAGGACTGCATACTTTTTCTTGAAGATGCACATGCTGACATAAAATTAGTTGTGACTTTTTCGCGCTCTGCATTCAACTTACTTCTTTGGTCAAGGACCTCTTTAAGATCTCAGCTTCTGTTTCATTGTACCACTTCCAAGGAT